AACCCAGCCTCAGTTCCACGATCTCATACCTTCTCCGACTGACGTTATGCATTATGACTGACGGTTTATAAATGTTTCCGGAGCAGATTGATTCTGCATATAAGATTCACATTTCATTGAATTACATCGGCTGATCATATTCTACATTCTGATTGGAATACGTTAATATTTCATGATGTTTATCTCTAATTAAGTAACTTCCAACTACCCAAAGTATGACATCCTGTTCAAAACTTTTAAACAAGAACCCTGTTGTTCCAGAACAAGCTACCATGGGGCGGCAAAAACCTACCAAATATCTTTATTATTATTTAAACCCTATCAACCCCCAAAAAATATGGAGAAAATGAAGAAGAAAAAATAACCATAGCATGCCCAAGACAAATGATGCGACAACACAACAAAAAAAAGGAGTTCTGCAGCAGTACCAAAGAAAGCTGCCAACAAGTTCAAGACCTACCCACGAACTAAATATCGTAACAATTCTTTCATAGCTTCCTAAAGGCATCCAAAACAATTTCAGGTCGGCAAAACAACAACAAAAATTGGGGAATCTGTCTGACATTTATGGGTCTGCCTAAATGCCTCAACTGACTAATATACAGGGTAAAAGGGTGATGAACCCTTTCAATGCTCTGGATACAGTGTCTATGCGATTATGAATAGATATCAACAACTAACTCCTTACTATTTGCGAGTTCATTTTGTCATAGATCATAAGTATCTGAGTGTTAGTTTTTTGTCATAGATCATAAATGTCTGAGTACTATAGTAGGTTAACGCCTTTTTAGGGAGTTGATTACCCCGCAAAGTACCCAAATAAATTGAACATGTTATTAAAAGAAGTTTTCCTGTATATCTGCTTAGTTTTTGTTGTGCACAAGCTTTTTACTTACAAACAAGATATCGGCCCTGTTGTGTCCCAAACCGTGCCTGTCCCGTTCTGAGCGGGCACAGAACGGGACACAGCCTGACTGTCCCAAACCGTGCTCGGAAGTGTTGTCAATCAAAGTGATCCTAGTGAACCTAGCATAATTATTCACGCCCACGATTACTTATATGGTTAGATCACGTGAGATTTTGCGAGTCTGTGTATAGTAAGTGCTTGGTCGATATGAACTTAGATAATGATATACAGAGACTAGTTAATACAAGCAAGAAACTCGCTTGAGACACATGTTATGAGAACTGTGTTCAGTCCCCTAGCACGGAATGGGACAAGCTTAAATAATATGTGTCCAGAACTGTGTGCGGTCGGGTACGGTTCTGGATAGTTTCCCAGCGTTTCCCAGAATGTAGATTTTCCCATGGGAGTGAGGCACGGTTTGGGACACGCGCCGAGTGTCCCAAAACATGCCCAAGCACGGTCTGGGACAAGGCCGTATCGGCTAGCGATCATATTTTGGCTCAAGATATAATAATGCCGATAGAATATAGATACATCTATTATTACTTCCATGAAAAATGGAGGTATTGTTTTGGCGTGTCTATCTGTATGTCTGTGTGTGTGTGTGTGTGTGTGTGTGTGTCTGTGTGTTTGTGTTTCCGTAACGTTGTAGTCAGCATAACTTCAGAACGCCTTTATGGATTGTAATGATATTTGGTATTATGGTAAGTCTTGGAAAGACAAAGGTCAAGGTCAAGTATGGGCCTCCTGGTGGATGACCTTGGTACTGTAGCAGAACTTCCGGTTTTTGTATCTTTTGTCCTGAACAAGCTATGGTATTGATTTTTTTGGTGACAGATAGCTTGTCCTGTCAGGAATAAGTGGCGTAAGTTTGGTCCCCCTAGCAGCTTGTTCTGGAACTGCAGGTTAGTTTCTGGTAAAAACTTTCAAAGCCAATAAGTCCAGATTGGAACAACGTATTTTCATCATTTTTGGTGTGTAGGTACCTGTTGTACATGATTACATGCAAATTATGCAAATGAGGACTTCATTTGCATAATTAATGAGGAAATTCTATAATTACAGTGTTTCATATAATGGTACTTCTGTACATGTAATCTATTTTATCTGTGGCAGGCGGAACATCAACAGATACCAATTATGCAAATGATGACCTAATTTGCATAATTATGTGAAAATTCTAATCCTTATTGGTGAATGATGGGAATTTTATACCTGTAACATGTGTAAGTTACTTAACGGTTTGCATCGCTATGCATATATTATGTTAATGTAGAGGTTATTTGCATAATTAATGAGGACATAATTAACAAAGCAAGCCCATATTTCATGGAGGTATGAGATCTCGGAACTCTTGTATAAAGTTACATTAGACTGACATGATCATAAAATTGACTTTGAAAATCCAATTTCACTACCTTTGATTGCTTTGGATGTACCTGGAGATAGAGATAGTAAAACAGACAAACCGAAACAATACCTCCAATCCACAGTTGTAAAATTACTAAAGTTATATGTAGCCTTTCTGTGGCATTTGTATTTGGTAAAAATCGAACTGATCTTCCTCCATATCCAGCTCTATGTGGTGGCCACATCACCGGGCGACGGTTTGGAGTAGTTTATTCTCCTTACTACTCTGAACGTTACGACATCAACATGAACTGCACCTGGACCATAGAGGTCGACTCGGGAAGAGTGAAACTCACTCCGGAAATGTTCGATTTAGAAATGAATCACGATTACCTGACAGTCTACGACGGAAACGGCAGCGTTTTGGGAAAGTACTCCGGTATGCGTGTCAACACTTTGTTACGTTTTGTGCTAATGAGTACAAGAAAATACACCTGATTTGATCTTGTAAGTCGTGTGTCTCACTAGTAAGACCCGTCGTCAGGTATTACGGCCCCTTTATAATTAATAATCCTTCGGGATGGGGGTGGAAGGGTAGCATGATGGGACACTCTTCCTCCTCTTAGCTACTTAATCCATGTCAAAGATTGAATTAATTTCGACTACGTTCCTAGCTTTCACAAACAATTCTGCGGGGATCTAAAAAAAGATAAGGTGGTGTGTTTTAATTTCCATGTAGATGTAAGTATTTTGTGCTTACTTAAAGCAAGGACATTCTACAAGCTGAACCTCTAGAAATATTCAGTAGAAAGTACATAAACACAAATAAGACACAAAAACAATGTCCGGTCTGTACACCCGATTGAGTGAGGTTATTATCACACGCTTCAAATAGGGATATATTATATATGACATGGTGATGATGATCACATGCTCCCTTCCTTGCTCATTCAGTAATAATATTTCAACAGGAGACATTCGATATATCCCTGAAGACATCCACTCGACATCAAACAAAATCAGCCTTGTCTTTACTACTGACCACATCGCTAACGCATGGGGTTTCAAGATCTACTATGAAGGTAATGTCAGCAGCAGCCATCTCTTCTGTTATAGGTCGATGTCACTGCGTTTCACTGTTATAGGATAATTCACTTTGTTTTTTTTTAACTGTACAGTTATGTCAGCCGCACCAAACTATATCAAATCAAGAACTCGTTTCAGTTTCATGTGACCTTCTTTCTTTCCGAACGGGGATTCGGACTCATGTCTTTTATAGTCATCTGCGATGTGGCTACTTATTTAGTATTTATACGTTTTAGTGTCTACTCAAATATTTATTTTTGATAATATACAAGTCTCACTCAATCCAGGGTGTATACAAGTAACGACGCATACAAGTAACTTGTATACTTCCATATGCAAGTAACGGCGAGAAAATTAGTTGTGTACAACTTCAACCCCCGTCACTCAGTCTGCGTACTTTTATTTGTTGCATTGGTGCCTTTAAACAAAAAAACAATTAAACTAGTTATGAGTGTATTTAAATCGACAAGGCGATCGCCGAGTTTATTTGTTTATTTATTTTTGGCTAGCTGAATGTGGGGCCCACATAACTAGACTGGCTGAGAACATTCGTCGTTCCGAAAGTTGTGTCACAAATAGTTCGAAATTCGCTCCTGATTATCCCGGAAACATTTATTCTCCCAATTACCCCGGTCAATACGGAAACAACATGGAATGCACCTGGACTATTGAGGTGGATGTGGGGAAAGGAATAAAGCTGACGACAGTAGCGTTTTCATTAGGGGAAGGACACGACAGACTTCTGCTCTACAAAGGATACCCAATAACAAACAGCACCCTTATAGGAGAATACACAGGTAAGGTATAGAATAGCTTTTTTTGCCTGTCTAAATTATGCACGGGTAAGTGCATCCACTCGGTTAGGTTCAGCTGCACCAACAAATAGAAAAATTATTTTTAAAAACTTATTCAGATCGGGCTTTTTTGGCCATACTGTAATCGAGAGAGCGGATGGGGTGTTTTGAACTGTTACATTCTGTTATCTCTTTTACAGCTGTTTATAGTTTTACTAATGATAATCCCCTATCAACAGGCACCAGGATCCCACGTGAGATTCTTGTTACTTCCAACTTAATCCACCTCGTTCTCATTACTGACGACTCATCTACCACGGATGGGTTCAAAATTCATTACGAAGGTAAAGGGAGAGATTCAGACATTTATTATTGATTCAGTATCTACCCAGTATAGAAAAATGAAGAAAATTAATATCGACTGTATTTTAGATAATAGAAAGGTTTTTAACTAAAAACTATCGTATAATGTATTTTTTTCTGCATGATTAAACGTTTCTTAACTTACTGGCCTCTATAACTGAATCTTGATCCGCATTTTTATCACAATCATTGTATTATGTCAACTGGCTAGTAATGTCAGAAAAAAAATTAAAAAGATCTCCTATATGGCTTCAGTAAAGAGACGTACAGCGTGTTTTCCAAATATTCCATCTCAATTCTCAAAGAAACGGAAGTTAGGTCACAGTATGTAAAGTTTATGGATGACATCCTCCGCAGACTCGAAAACTAATGAGAGAGGGCAAAACAAAAACAAGGCGGGCCCGAAAAAAACAAGATTTTGAAAATCATAAACTCTGCTAAACAAGAAATGATACCTATATTGTACTAACTTTTCTGCCAACTATCACAATATCCATTTGTCACTGAAACAACTTTGAAGAAGGAAAGTTTTCAATCATTGTACAAATGTTTTTTAATCAGAGGGAACATATAAAAGGAATGTAATATATCACTGTATCAAAGGTAAATTTAAAAAAACAAGAAATCAGAGCCTTGTCTTTTCTACTCTCTTCATGTTTATCTGCCATACACGTCCCAGAATGGCAAGGCACGCCATTTAGCCCATTTTCCGCATATTGGCCACTGTCAAAGGGCAACAAAATTTCTTGTGTTTTTTTTCAAAAATCAGGCGAAAATCAATGCGCACCTGATGTCATCCTTAAAATTACTTGCTGTGGCCATATTAAAAAAAAAAAAACTAGAGTTCGGAGGGGTTATGCCTTCGACAGTGTGATATTGTTTTGGTGGGTATTGTGTGTGTATAGTGTAGGTTTTTTGAAGATAATTATCGTAGTTATAGTGGTCAGAGAGTCCTTTTGTGAACGAAGCAACATACTATTTCCCAAGCCTGTACCATGTCTTTGTACGAAAATACGGATCATAGAATTCGGCAAAAAAGGAGAGAGAATTGGCCTGGGGAGTCTGGCCGCGAAGGGTCGTTTTCTTCCCTCCGATGCGCGGCGATCCAGACTTCAAAACGGCAAAAACAACTTCAACTAAATTATTCTTCTATACAGCCAGCGTTGTTGAAGAGTGCGATGTCCATTATACGTTGAAAACAATTACACTACAAAATGTTCATACAAAATGGCCAATTGTTGTGATGGTATGTGGTATGTAAGATAAATGGGATCCTCCTGTGAGTCGCAAATTGTTTCTCTCTAGCGGGCTAACTCCCTTTAGCGGCATACTTTCCCCTTTATTTTGGCCATTTTCTACTATTTTTCAAGCGATCCATGGTGCCTGGACCTGGCCATTGTGTACAGTATACCAACTTGGGCTCCCGATTAAAACACATTCCAGATGGGGGCCACAGACCTGTCAAATTAGCAATCATTAAGCACGCCCCTGCTGGGGAATGTTGTTTCAACAAAGAAACAAACAACCATTCAAAGAAAATGTTTTTGTTTTCGGAGAGCACTGTTGACAGCTTCCTGTCTGTAACTTGTTGTTTTAACCTAGATATAAAACCAGACCAAGACTTCACCAAAAGCAACGTACAGACCTCCCAAGACGCCCATTTCCCATCAACGGTAACTTGCCCACAAAAAATCGTGAACATCCATTTGCAGATTCTCGAATTATCCTGCTAACAACAATAACGACCAACACAGAAGGTCAAATTCAATGACGTGGGAACCCCCCAATGAGGCCCATTCCGATCTTGACCTCCGTATTCTCAACGGTAACTCGCCAACTAAAAATCATAGACAACCATTTAAGGATTCCCGAGTTATCATGATAACAACATAAAACACAAACACAAAAGGTCAACTCCATTCACGTAAGAACATCCCACGAAGCCCATGTTTGGCCTTTACAGTGCCAATCACTAAGACAACCTGCCGGCCAAAAATCGTGAACCTCGGACCATACCTTCAAAATTTACCGTGCATAATCTGCCAAACAGTGCCAAAACTATTTCATAGCCTTCTTGTCGAAGGCAATAAGTTCAAACGAGTTTTTAACCAGTTCGAACGGGTCCCCAAGCTAACAATACCATTTATTCTCTGCGACATTAGCATTTCTTCTGCTGCGACCACCTTGTTTTGACCCTGGTGTTCCGGAAAACGGATTTAGACATGGGGACATCTTCACGGTGGCGTCAGTTGTTACTTTCGGCTGTAACGACGGCTTCACTTTAAAGGGTCAGAAAAAACTCAACTGCATGTCTGGCTATCAGTCGGCCTGGAACGGGCCTCTCCCAACTTGTAAGGGTGAGTATCGATAGTTTTATGTTATTGCCATCATTGCAAATAAGAAACCAAGTTTACAACCAGAACTATTTACCTTTGCCACTAAGGACAGGCAAAGTACCAACGACTAGTTTGAATCTTCCTTCTTGTTATAGGTTCTATGTGTTTTAGGTTAAGTCGTTGTTATAGGTTCTATAAGTTTTTTTTTTTTCGTTGGTTAGATCTTTAAATGCAATTTACCTTAACAGAGACTGGCTGATTAATGTGTAAAATGAATGACCTTGGTCCTATTTAAACCCGTAACCAGCGGAATGCGGTGGCTACAGAACAGCTAATGTCAAGTCTTCAGGCGTCTTATATTCTCCCAACTATCCTGCCCCTTACGGCAACAACTTGAACTGCACCTGGACCATCGCCACCGTTAACGAAGGGATGGGGATAAACATGACAATAGCAGAGTTCTCTCTGCAGGACAGGCGTGACAGATTATCAATCTACGCTGGAGATCACATATCCAACTACACCTTACTGGGAGAATACAGCGGTAGGATTGCTGCATAACTTACTTCTTCCTACAGCTTATTGGTTGCCAAATGTCAAGACATAAATTAGCTAGTCGGTCACTAAACTTAACTTTATTCATGAACGATCTTAGAGGTTATACTACAGTATTCTTTATACTTCTTTTTACGGCCCACACAAAAATACAACAATTAACAAATTCAATTTGTCATGTTACGTTTAGTCTTTCCA